TAAATGGTCCATATAGTGAGCTTGGTGCCAAATTATTCACATTAAGGTCACTGCAAAGGACAAGGGGGCACTCTTTGCGTCTGGAGGTAAAGAGGTTTAACATCTGCATATGGAAAGGATTCTTCACAGTTAGAGCTGTGAAAATGTGGAATAGACTCCCCCAGGAGCTAGCTCAGTTAACTGTTTAAAAAAAAAATCTGGATGTATTCCTAAATGCACAGAATATGACTGGATATTGAGTTCTTATAGGTATAGTAAGCATTAGAGATGGTTGATCCTGGGAATATCCGATTGCCTTATGGGATCAGGAAGGAATTTTTTTTCCCCTGTTGGAGCAAATTGAACCATGCTTTATAGGGTTTTTTTTGCCTTCCTCTGGAATAACAGAGGGTAGCTGTGGGCATAGTGTTCTGTTTTAGGATTTCCTTCCTTTTTTTTTTTCTTTCCTCCTCTTATCTCTGTAGGTTGAACCCGATGGACTTGTGTCTTTTTTCAACCTGACTAACTATGTAACCTTAAAGCAGCTCTGTCTCAACATAGATGTACCTAAACTGGGCCCAAAAATAAAGTGTCAGGTACGTACTTTAGCAGCCTAACACCACATATACAAATTCTGGTACACCTTAGAAATGGGAATAGCTGGTCCACCTTCACCTGCCTCATAGACCTTACTACTGGCTCATTAATATGAAAGTGGCCTTCTAGCCAATAGGAAGGTATAGGGTCAAGGTAGAAACTAGCACTCAACACTCCTAAAAAACGTCATTTAAATATGAGCTTCAGGGCGAGCCCACGGTGCTTGACAAGATTTCCAAAGACATGTGGAGGCACCTGATGTTGTCTACTTTAATGTGTGGTTAATTTCTCTGTTAAAGTGATCATAAAGTCAAATGGTTTTTAAATGGATGCTGCTCTTTATGTTTAAAGTTTTATCTCCTGATGGTCCCCTGATCCTGTTTTAGAGTGGCTCCTTTCCCTTGCAGGATCCTATAGAGCCATCTGCCTGTGTGCTAGTAAGCCGTGTGTGTGTGTGTGTGTGCGTCTCCACAAAACACAATAAGGCAAGTCAGTCTCCTATTCCATGCTCTTCCCTTCTCCCTCTTCTAGTAGATGGACAGTTACTGGAGATTGCATTGTCCCTTGTGATCGTGTACTGGACAGGAATTTCAGGGAAGTGTAGCTGAGGGAGCTGGAGCCAGCTGTTTGGAAACATGATGACTAAGTGCTTGGGCAAACATTTAAAGAAATCCTTTTCTGGGCCATGTATATTTGTTTGATCTGGATTCATTATTGATGTTTTAAGATTGAAAAGTTTAATACTACTTTAACACCTGATGATCACTGTTATGGTGCACTTCACCTATAGCAATCTCTATTCAAGGGACGCATACAGTGTAGGAGGAGCCAGCAGAGGGAGCCAAAGAGCAGTAGGAACCAGGACCTGTATTAGAGGAATTCTGAGAACATTTCAATAGCATAAGCATGAGAGACATGGATGAGGCCCAACTGCCTGGCTGGATGATAGCCCCACAGGTCATTCTAAGCCATTTGGATTTGAAAGGTTGTTTTAGGTGTTTGTACACTGTGATACACGTACTCTAAATGTTGTGTTTACAGTTCTATGTAAAGCCCAACCACAGCCAATTTTCTTTTAGTTTTGGACAGAGTGGGGAATAGTTGAAACCTCTTCCAGGTTTTTATTGTCATTTCAGTAGCCAACTCTAACACTGGAAGATATGTTCAGAGAGAAACCCATTGGTAAGTGAATATTTTTAGGACTGACATTGCAAAAAAGGTACAAAAATGTCCCCAGCACACTTTAAAGATAGCCAGCAACAAAAAAATAGCTAATCTGTTTAACTATTCATTTGAAAAACAGAGGTATTTGTTACATCTGCAGATTTATGGGGAAGCCACACTGCCACATCAAGGCATCTCCACTAAGGGTGTCCCTAACTCTACACTATCGGGGCTTCCAAACTATGGGACATATATAGCAATGCACAGAGAGCAGACTCACCTGGAGGCAACTCC